GGACTCAAGGATGAACTGATTTTGGTGGTCAAAGGTCAAGGTCACTGTGAACTCACAGATGCTTTTGTTCATAACTTAAGAACTGAGTTTGTTAAGACAATGAATTGGTGACACTTTTGACTCAAAGGTCTTTGTGACCTCAAAATGACCTTGACAAACACATTTTTGGCCATAATTCAAGAACTGATTTCCCACATACCAACAGCTGCAATTGTAATTTTACTGCATTAAAAAGAAATCTCCTTTAACTTGACGATTTTACCTTTTTGAGTGTGAACTATCATTTTCATTTTTCCATTAATAATACAGCATATGCAACATTTCCCCCACCCAGATCTTAAGTGCCATTATGCACACACACATACTTGTACATCAGCCGCCACTGTATTGCTGATTTGCTCTCTTGTTCGCTGGTGCTACTGAGAAGGAAGTGATAAATCTTGGTTGATAAGATCTGACATTTTGATGGTGTGGAGATTTTTTATTTTTTTTTCACATGTTTTCTTTCTCACTGCTGGCCTAACAAGCAACAACTGACATACATTCTGTCTGCTCTGTGTTTAGGAACAACGTGCTTCCTCATATCATTGAGGCCAAATACTTGGACATAATGGATGCCCAACACATGTAGCTACAGATGGAGACAAGTTCTGGATCCACAAAAAAGAAAGAAAGAAAAAGACGTCTAGAATTTAAAAAAAGAAATGAGGAATAAAAAAAAATAAACGTATTTTTCAATGCAAAACTGTAATGGAAGCAAAAAAGGAAGGAGGAAATACAGACTGTTTTGATTTTTGTATCCGATAAGAACATTCTTACAGGTGAAGCACTGGAAATGTGGGTTGTCGTGTGAGGAGGAGAGATGAGAGCCGCAGGAAATGTTTTCGAAACATGGACAGACAGCATCTCTCTGGGGAAAAGTTCTACCGATATATAACTGGACCGCCCAGAACTCCCTGTTTCACCTCCGTTTGACCCTGTCAGATCATTCAGTGCCATATACCTCCATGTTCTCCTCTCACACCTTTACATTTTATGGTGACATTTTACAATATCCTTACTGCAGTGTATTCGTGTATTTTAGCCAAAAAATGCTGCCAGTGTACATTGTAGAGTACTTAGAAAGGTGTAATGGCACAATGTAAGTATGAACAATATCTTTTTTTGACACTTTGCACTCACATTGTGTTTTTACACTGTCATCCTGGTAAATTTGACATACTTACACTGTGTTGATAAGTCCTTAAATACTTTTCCATTGGTGAATTAACTGATAAGAACACTGCATTTAGGTCACTGCAAAGTAAATCTTTACCTTTTGTATTTCTGTCATTGTGCAGTGTTTAAAAACCTTTACATTCCTGCACCTTTTAGCTGTGATTCCCCCTTTTTCTATGAAGGACACACGTACCCGTACACTTTTAGTTTCTAAGTCATTCCAATAAACGTCAGTGTTCATTAAGGAGAAAAAAAAGGGAGCGTGCGTCTGTGCGTGCGTGCGTGCGTCTGTGCGTGCGTGTGTGTGTGTGTCATGGGCACATTACTAATCTGTCCCTCATCTAGCTTCCTGCCAGCTCTTTAGAAAGCCTCATTTTTAAGGTGGAATTTAAGTACTCAGCCGGATAAAAAAAAATACATTCCACAGGTATATAGTATATTATATGTAATTATTTAGAACGACAGCACAAACCAAAACATATAGTGAAATCTTTATCAAATTATAAATATATTAGAATATATTATGGCATTATACAAAAATTATTTTAGGTTAAATTCAAATAGAATATTTATTTATCACGATGACAGTTTATCTTTAAAGTACAAATTGATAATTTTGTGTGTTTACCCCGAACTGGATGATGATCTGTAATTCTCTGTTTGCTCCTTTACATTCCACAGTTACTGATTCTTGTATTTTGAGTGTGTTGTCTTACATCTGGCTGTTGCCACAGTGTTTACATATTGAAGTCCCTTCCAGCTCCATGTCAAAGTCCAACACAGTTCTGGTGCATTGTTAGTAAAGATGAAAGTCAGGTAAGGGTGAAAAATAAGATATTTAAAAAAAATAACAAAAAAAAAACATTTGTGGGCTTTGGATTCAATAAAATGCATCCCTTTTTTATTTTTATTTTTGTGAACAAGTGTTCAGAGATGAGTTTTAGAATAATCTGGTCTTGTTTTCTATTTAGATGTTATGATTAGATCAATGCTTGCAAACGTTGTCATGTAATAATCCAGACGTCTGGAAAAATTATCTTGTTATCTACAGTACAAAAAGGAAAAAAAAAGAACATTTCTAGGCAATGGTTTGCGTAAAGCATGACTCAACCTGGTTTTTGATACAATGTGATGCCAATGGACATGTATCCTACACACAAGAAGAAGAAAAAAGTAGCAACTCAAACAGTAACTTCTCAATAAACCGAATGCAATGCTCAATATTCAGCAATACTGTGTATAAAAACTTCACTGGTGAGATTTGGGTTCCCCGGCAAAGGCGGACCCATCAGTGAAGCAAAGACAGGCCAGCTGTATTTTTAAGGCAGCAACTTTTCAGTCCATCCTCATGGTACAAAAAAAAACCTGCTCTGTGCCGATTCAATTATTGCACACATCAAGGAGAAAAAAAAAAAAGTTTGCCTGTCAACGAGGCATTCACAGTGCCGGATTTTATTACGGTTTAGTTGCTTTCCCAATATCCAAATGGCAGCTCCCTCATGCAGTTCTGTTCAACTTTGTCTTACAGATGTGAGAAAGATGTCCAATTTAAGCAGATGTCTCATGCCGAGATAGCGAAGGCACGAAAGGGAAGCTTGGAAGCATTTACATAATCCTTGGACTAAGGCTTAAGACAGCACTAGTGAGAGAAGAGATAGATTGTATGAAGTAATATGTACAGTTTGCAATGCAAAGTTTAGTTTCTATCAACTATCCATTATAATCCATGGCAAGGTATTAGTTTCTAACTTTGGACTGAGTACAGAGGTTTGACCATTCTTCTTCTTACGTGACAGTATTGTTGTTGTTCCTTGATATCTTCTCTGTACTGATGATTTTGGAATAGCAGCAAATTTCTCTCAGATGACTTAACATTGGCTTCAGAGTGAGAGACATACTACTCTGTTTGTGAAACCTTGACCCACCCCCCTTCTCCTAATTGGATTTGTTTGAAATTGCGTACTGTGCTGTTTTGTTTTTCTTTTCTTTTCCTGATTTCATATAGCCTACTTTTTCTAATCATGAATGTAAGATGTGTGGGTTTTTATATAGCATAATAATTTAGGTGTCAAACAGAATCTGTAATTTTGTCAAAAAGATCAGCTATATTTGTAAGCTGTAATATGTAAAAACGAGAAAAAAATGGTTATCAAACAGAATGTGTTGGTTTATTATAGTATATATATACTGTACACTGAAAAAGAGAGACTATCTCAAGCTGTTTGCCAAATAAAACGTAGTAGTGATGTAAATATTTGTGTGTTTTTGTGTTTATTGGATCACAGCAAAAATATCTAAATAACTGTATACGGATTATTTTTACTGTTATCGGTAATCGACCATTTCTCTGGTGCCAACCAGCAGTTCAAAATGTCCCAACACTTTGTTCACTTAAAGTATCACAAAAGGGAAAGATGTTAAGTGCTAAATGGTTACATAATTACATATTTTATTCCAAGTAAGTGGGCGATCATCAAACCACAAAACCTGGTTTGGTACCACCCAAAATGTGGCAGCAGTACCAAAATCTGTCACATACTCTCAACTAGAATTTATGTCAGGTCAGATTTGTAATCCTATTTAATCTCTGATCACATAGTTTGAGTTTATTCACAGTACCACTTCAAACATTACAATAATAATACAATAATACAGTTGGGGTACAAAATCAATTGGGTAGAGGGAATGGGTCCCCCAAGGAAGCTAGGAAAGCTTATAGGTGGGGGCCCATGGTTCATGAAAGGGTAGTGGTACAGATAATGGTATACACAGTCACGGGGGAATTTGTCTCTGACCAGGACAGAGCCTGTATGACTTTCTTTTGCAAAGGATACAAGTTTTTAAAGATGGCTGGTGAAGGTGTTGCACCATATCACATTACAGTAGTGAAGGTGTGGTTCAAAGAGAGTTTTGTACAACGTGAGAAGGGCAGACAGAGGGAAGGAAATGTCTGACGCTATAGAACGAGCCAACATACTTGGACAGTTTGTTTACAAGATGGTCGATGAGTTCCCGATTTAAAACTAAATGTAATGTTTGGCCTTTTCTTCTCCTTTGTAGACAAACATGTTTATATTCTTTAAAGTAAACTATTAAAAAGTAGCCTACAGTTTGGTATCCGTGCTGAAACTGAGCCCAGAAATCAATACCTAGAATAAACAATGTCTTCTGCATATAACTCTCAATAACTGACGCAGCTCTCAGCTCCTGTCTCTCCCAAAGCTGAAATGACAAATACACTCTTTGTTAAGTCAAAATCTCTTAGGCAGATTGACTGAAGCCCCCTCATGGTCTGTGTTTGTTTATGTAGGTCATATAGCTGCATCAGTATTAAAGTGAGCCCCCCCCTGCAGTATGTTAAATAATAATAAAACTTGCACCTTCCCCAGGCTATAACCTTGCACACAAGAAATATGTCACACTGTCACCGGATTGCTGACAGCATTCATGCTCCCAGGAGGATCAACTATTCAGATTGTAAGTGAGCACATAGCTGTTCCTCTGGCGCCCCCCTCAGGACAAACAGCAGACCATCAGCCACACTGAGGCTCAGACTAAATCCTCCACCTGTGTGAACATGTGTCACACTTTTTTAATGACACAATAATAGAGAAATATTAGACAAAAAAAAAAAAAAAGATTGTAAGTTACACCAGGTGAGCTCTTGCACTCTGTGGCGGCAGTACCGCACTGCACATGCGCAGATGACCACAGATCTTTAAAGTTATGTGAGCAGAAACAGGTGATGAGCCGAATAAAACCGGTTTAAAAGTAGAGCTGAGCCACCGCTCCTCACGTCCTGGCGCGGAGAGGAACCCTGTCTCTCTCTCTGCCTGCCTGTCTGTCTGTCTGCCTGTCTCTCTGCCTGCCTGTCTCTCTCTCTCTCTTGTGGGCCGGGTCATGAGACTCCAGGGGTGGCTCTCCCTCAGAAACCTCGCCGCTGGCTCTCTCTCTCCAGCACCCAGCGGGCGGGCGGCTCTCGGTAACCGGGGACACGTGTGTGGGTTCGGTCAGTCCGCCGCGACCATGGCAGAGGAGGCGAAGAAGCTGGCCGCGTACGCCGCTGTGGACAACCACGTCCAGGTAGCTGTTCGTGTCTCTGTCGTCTCTCTTTGTTGTTTTACAGATAATGTTCAGTGTGTCCTCTTTTGTTAGCCACACGCTAGCGACGTTAGCTCAACACAAAACACAAGAGGTGGTCGTTTAGCCTGGCTTGCTAACGTGGTGCTGTTATCTAACTTGCACGGTTTGGGGAGGGAATTAGCTCAGTGTTATGCGTGCTTGTCCCGGGATAGTGGGGCTAACTTTGTGCTGCATTAAAGGACTAAATATAACGTTGTGTTAGCTGCTAGCGGGACGGTGCATGTAGCTGAAGGAGGGACAGAAACAGATGAGCTCACAGGTTCTGCAGGATTTCAAACTCTGTTACAAACTGTAATTCATTGCATAATGAAGGAGTAAGGGACAGTTTGTCCTTTACTGACTCTGTAGTGCACATGGGATGCAGCAGGGGTTCATTTACCTGCTGCAGACAGCTTATTTGAACATCTGTACCACACCTGCAACACATGCTGCCCTTCTGAGTCTGCATTATATATGAAAGTGTTGTTTATCTTTATTGTGTATGCATGTATTTATGTGCCACACAACTATATAATATAATACACTAACTACTCTTCATCCTAATGTGTCCACCAACGTCCATGCATCTGCTGTGAGGTGTGAAATGTAACAGGGTTTGAATTCTTCTGTGTGTCTCCAACAGAACAACCAGGTGGTTGGAGTGGGCAGCGGGTCGACCATCGTGTATGCTGTAGACAGATTAGGTGAGTGAAACCATTTTAATTTGGACTTTAGATGTGATTCGTGAGACCGCCGAGGTGTCTTTTAGAGAATAACTTGTTTGCAGTGAATGGAACAAAGCGCGCTGCGTCTGTTTTGGTGTTTTATGCTGGTGCTCTTGTGAGTTTTGGGAAGGTGGAGGACAAGTTCATTTCGAGCTGTGTACTTTAACTTTCGTGCATCCGGCTGTAAACATATGCCTGAATTTCCTGTGGAATATCGGCATCATATATCAGCCGGTGAACGCCCATATCGGTCGACCTTTATTTGGAACCTAATGTTTTTGAACTTTGTGTATGTCGTATGTTGCAGCTGAGAGAGTGCGTCAGGAGAAACTCAACATTGTGTGCGTGCCCACCTCCTTCCAGGTGGGTTGGAGACATTTTCAGTTACATGACTTCTAACTGTTTTCCTCCCAATAGCTCAATGCTGTGTGCACAGTATTTGGCAACAAGCATGTGCTGCAACATTGTGGCTTTGAATGCAACTCATTACCACACTCTGTCCCTTTTTTGTGTAAACGTATGAATGAAATGTTTGTCGTCTGCTTTGTGTCTCTCTTCTCCTTCTGTTTTTCGCGCTCCTCGCCGTTCCTCCCGTCTCTCGGCTCGTCCTCCCACAGGCCCGTCAGCTGATTCTGCAGCACGGCCTCACGCTGTCGGATCTGGACAGGCACCCAGAGGTATGACGAGCTCTTTACAAATTAATCTGAAAGGCTTGGAAATGAGTAAGGGCCGCAATATGTTGGCACTCGAGCGCTGTCATCTTGAATTGGAGCGCTGTGAACATCGTGCCCGTGCCGCTGCAGCACAAACGTGAACGGAGCTGATGGTCTGAATGCACAGAGTGAATCAGTTCATTTGTTGTTGCTTGTTGCTTTTGTTTGCTGCTTGTGGAAATACGTTGTTTGTCCTCACACACAGCTGGATGTGGCGATTGACGGAGCAGACGAGGTGGACGCAGCTCTCACGCTGATAAAAGGTGGAGGGTGAGTACAGTTCGATACAGACAGCAGAGCTCAAACAGCGTGTCCTCTGATGTCTGTCTCACTCTCGTCTTCTGTTTGTCTCACAGCGGCTGCCTGACTCAGGAGAAGATCGTAGCCGGCTGTGCGAAGCATTTTGTTGTCATTGCCGACTACAGGTTGGTATTTTTTATTTTTTTTTAACCTGGAGTGTAATTCCTAGAGAGAGTGTTATAACACTTTTGCCAACCCTCAAAGGGGGGAAATGTTTCTGTGGTTTCCTCATTGAAGATTTGTTAAACGTACAAGGCGTTCCTCAGTTTAATACTAATGCCTCTACATTTCTTTATAGTAATTCTTAATGTCCGCCACCGGGTCGGATTCCCTTTAATCAGATGAAGCGAGTTACCGCTTTTGACCACAGGGGCCGCCAGAATCACCACAAAATGAAAGTTTCTTGTCGCTGCTTTAAAATCTAGCTGGATCAGAGGCCCTTTTCTGCCTCGCAGGTGGTAAACTGGACTTTAATTGCGTCTTTGTATTAGATTGCATTAGCAGAGCAATGAAAGAGCGAATCCTTGAATTTTGTGTTTGTGTGGTGAAGGGTTGGTAGCATTAACTACAGCGGTCATTGAAAGTTTGAAACAAAAGGAGTAACAGTGTTTGCATGATAAGCTTGTTGACTGACTGTATACAGTGTGCCTCAGGGTCACTTGGCGCTGCAGGAAATTGGACTTTAGAGGACTTGTTGAATGTCGTTATCGTGCTTTCACACAGCTTGAAACCACATCACCTACTCTGTGTGTGTGTGTGTGTGTGTGTGTGTGTGTGTGTGTGTGTGTGTGTGTGTGTGTGTGTCCAGATTTGGTTCTTACACTCTGTTCTCTCCTCCCAGGAAAGACTCCAAGGCTCTGGGCCAGCAGTGGAAGAAGGGAGTTCCCATTGAGGTGATCCCCATGGCGTACGTTCCCGTCTCCAGGACGATCGCCAGGCGCTTCGGAGGGGAGGCCAACTTACGGATGGCTGTCAGTAAAGCCGTAAGTGGAGGATTGGCTCGACTCTTCCTTCTGCATCCAACACTCGTCTTCGTATCGGCTCTCTGTCTGTTACAGCAGCAGTGTAGCTTTTCCCATGTGTTGCCCGTGGGTCTATTTGTAGTTTTAGTTTTCACGCAGATCCTCACTTTCTCTTCCCAGGGGCTCGTAGTGGTCCCGAGGTCCAGGATGAGAATGATGTGTGTCTTTCATGGTGAAATTAAAACTCTTCCCAGAAAGCATCAGAGGAGCTAAACCACTTAGAAACCACTTAGTTTATTAAAACATTTAATCAGCATTACATTGTGTGTTTTTTTTATTGCCCTGAGTGCTTTTTATACAGAATCTTAACTTACAATATATTACACTTTTACATCTTTATGTGGCAATAATGGAATCAAAGTAGGCACCATGTGTAATTACATTTTTCTGGACTCGTGTGTGCACTATTTGACCTCTTGTAGCGCCATGGAGCTGTTTATTCGTGAGTAGGTCCCAGTTTGGTTTGTCTAGTACACACACACACACACACACACGCTGGTGACATAACTCACAGATCCACAGGTGGTGGTAAGACATGCTGCAATGTGCCAGCAATGGTGTGGAAAAAGAAGACTGCGAGCTAGTAGACACGGATGTAAAAAAACAACAACATAATCTTTGCAAATGTTTTCTGTGGAAGGAAATCAGCACATTTGTTCGACCTCAAAGAGACACACACACACACACACACACACACACACACAGGGAAACTCCACAGGGCACCATTTAAGATAAAAGCTTGTGGCAACAGTGAAACGGAGCAAAGTTTACTCTGAAACCAGACGAATAACACCTTCTCTCTCTCTCTCTCTCTCTCTCTCTCTCTCTCTCTCTCTCTCTCTCTCTCTCTCTCTCTCTCTCTCTCTCTCTCTCTCTCTCTCTCTCTCTCTCTCTCTCTCTCTCTCACATACACACACACACACATCCGTCTCATTAACAGTCTGTAGGGTAGAACTTGTTTGTTACTCTGGATCTTAATGTTTGACTGGTGAGCCTGGGAGCAGTTTATATATTAATGAGTGGACAAGCGGCAGTCTGTTTATCCAGGAAGCCTTTATGACAACAGATAGTTATTTAATTAACGCTTGCCTCATAGTCACACATGATCACTTAATTCATACTGATTACAGAAGTCAGGCCACGTACAGGTTGCTTTTTTTTTTTTTTTACTGGAAAAGCTGTCGACAAAGTTTAGATAATTTAATATAAAACTATTGTTTCTAAATCAACTTTTCTATTCCTGTCCGGAGTCAGAGTGTTCGACACAGATGATGACCACGCTGCAGTAACTGCAGTAATACTGTGGTTCGTCTCATACTTGGTGTTATAAACACTTTGCTCGCGGCCCTCTGGGTGTTAGAGTACAATGGATAGGAACTCTGAAGTTTTTGTTCAGTGCCTGAGGTTGTGTCCGTCTGTCTCTCAGGGTCCTGTGGTCACCGACAACAGCAACTTCATTCTGGACTGGAAGTTTGAGCAAGCTCAGAACTGGAAAGAAGTCAACACCGCAATCAAGATGATTCCAGGTGAGGAGCTGGCGGACGCGGTTCTGTTTCTGTGCAGTCTGGGTTTGGTGACGGTGGATCCTGCTGATCATTCACCACAGACAAACACTAGCTCAGTGTCTCTCTCCGTGTCGTCCTCAGGTGTGGTGGAGACGGGGCTTTTCGTCGGCATGGCCGAACGAGCCTACTTCGGGATGGAGGATGGAAGCGTGCAGGTTCGGGATCCTCCAGTCAACTAGGGAGTTACGCCACGATCGCCGTCTCTCGCCTCCTCTCCGAATGACCTCACCCTCTCCCGCAAGTGCCGTGTTGATGATTTACACCCGGTCTCAGACTGTGTTTGGACAGAACTGTAGCAGGGAAGTTTTCACACATCTCAAAACCAGATCCAACTCAGGATCTCTTGGTTTTTCTCATCCTGCAGGCGGTGCTTCTGATTCTGCGAGTTTTAAAGTGCCTGATGAGCAAAATCAGTTGCATCTGATATACAGTTTTTTTTTTTTTTGTTCAGGCTGTTATTGTTGAGTTTGGCTGCCTGGTCTCACTGGGAATGTTTCTCTTCCTGTAATTAGTGACTTTGACTGATTGTCTGCAGTGCTGTGGTTCTCAACCAGTGTCCTGAATCACTGCAGTGCTACAGAATGAAACTAAGGTGTGCCTTGAGATTTAATTTTAAGCCCCATTAAGAGAAATGACGCCATTAAAGTTACATTTAGAAAGCTCATAATCATACGTCAAACTATTGTCGTCTGCTAGCCTGCTGCAAAACGTCCACCAGTCAAGACATCAGAAAAGTGATATGCCTTCAAGTCTTTTTGTTTAATTAAATCACAGAAGGGGGAGTGATACGAACTGTATACTACAACATGAAGTGTTTTTTTTTCTTCAGGAAATTAATTTCTCTAATTAATATGCTAATTTAAACAGAAAAAGGCAGAAAATTAATGAGATCGTTGACGATTTAGGGAAACCCTGTGGTGCTGGTATGAAGCTTCCATTATTTGGTTATTGTAGTAAGAAGACACGTGACACTGATGATACAGTGTGCGTCTGTGTGGTATACAGTGCAGAGGTGGGCTGTAATAAATATAATGTGGTAATTCTGCCGGCATTTACTCAGACGTGTCGACACCTGCTTTGAAAAATACAACTAGGGACAAAAACAGAGGACTGTAGACAGGAAGCGTGCAGAATGTACCAGCGGGTAGTGTTAGCTCTGCCAGCTCAAGGTTTGAGAAGCATCGAATATAAGGACAAGGTGAAAGCGTCACTGTGAGGCAGCGGCAGCTTCACCTTTCTTTGTGCGCCTCGGTGTAACTGAAGCTCCTCGTTTTCTGCTCCGTTGTCACCTTGCGTGTCCTTCAGCTGCTCTCTTTGTATCGGTTCGTGTCAACACAGTGATAAATCATCTCAACTGTTCAGCTGCACTGTGCCATCAAATCTACATCCTCCTTACTAGGAATGACTCTTTTTGTTGAATGGTTTAGAACAACTGCACAGGTTACAGGTATACAATTTCAGGATCTTAAACTGGAAATGACTCCTTTCTGTCACATGTGATTCCTTTTTTTTAAAGCCACAGTTCGCAGAGCTGTCTTGAATATTTCTGATGTAGTTTTACATTTGTTTATTTCACTGTTCAGTGGGGTACAAACTCATGAAGTGGAAGTTCTCGTGTAATTCTCTTGGACTGTTGTATTTTTCTTGCATCATCTGATTTCCTGCTCTGAGTGAAGACAGTGGAAATGTTTGTGGTTCCTCTGTTTCAACAGCAGTTTCGGGGGGGGGGTTAAAGTCCGCAGCCTCTCACTGTTGTCCAACAAACAAACCACTGAATGTGTGTTCTTTCATGCATGTACCTCCTTCCACCGTGTTTGTGCCTGTAACTTGCATGACAATGTCTCATTCCTCACACGAGCCATCTGCTCACAGAGAGTCTTGTGGCATAAACTTAAATCCCAATGGTTATAGAGAGACGTGGAGGACGTCCTGAGGTAATAGTGACGGACAGTTGCCTCTTTAAAATTGTCACAGTTAATGGTGAACTGATGTAGCTCAAATCTGATTTGATGTGCCTTGGTACGCCAAAGCAATAGAAACACCTTTTCTTATTAAGATGTAGCAGAATGAATTGGTTATGTAGCTGATCATATTGTTGGAGCAACACTGCAACAAACTGCACCATTAAAGACATTTTAGTATATAAAAATCTGAGAAATGCAGTAGTTAAAGACAAAAGCTGAATCACAAACGTGCAACTTCAAAGGCGCTCTGTAAGATCTTATGCTCAGTGTGCAGCAGATATCAGGGAGATAATGTTTCTCAACTCTACAGCACACTACTCTTCTTGAATTGTCTAAAAATACTTTTTTTTTTGTCCAAAACACTCATTGTTCCTTCTCAGATTTCAAATTGTTAGGTTGTCTTTCTTCACACTGAGGACAAGTTCCCTCACTGTCCAGAACAACCATCATTTGTGTGATTGTATGATTAATGTCTTTAATGTCACTCTGCTTTCGGCTCACGATGCCTTACACTCTGGTTTGTTTTTATATGTACGGCTCCGACAGGCTCAGGAGAACATCAGTACTGGGAGATTTATGCAGTCTGCTGACACGTTAGTCCACAAGCCACTGTTCTTAGGTACGGGCAGACTCCGTGGTCGCAGTGGCGTGTGGACAACGTGAAAGTGAACGGCGTATATGTATCCCAGTTTGGGTCCAATACAAGTTGTACACCATGTTGGGTATTTTTGCACCAGCAGTTCTTTTATTGCTTTCCTTACCAGTTGACTGTGATAATGATTTTGCTGTGAAGGTACTATTTTCTCTGTCAAACAATACAGGACCAAAATGATAACAGCACGCCTCCCTTGTGTTATTTCTGGTGGGGAACTTTTCTTCTCCTTCTGTTAATAACTTCATGATGTGATACACGAACACTTTCCAAAACTAGAAAAGAAACAACCACACACACACATTTTCCAAGTACAGAAGATTCATTAAAGTACTTTCCAGAAAACCTTGGCGGTGCAGTTCTCCTGTGTGGCCACTTGGGGGCGCTAGAAACACAAGCAGGTTGATTGTGCTGCAGTCACTGCACAGCAAACTGGGTTAACGATGACCTTATATAGCACCCAAAATAATAATAATAAAACAGATGCAACTGCCACAAATTCTAATGTGATAAGTTGACAACAATTGTCATGTGATTAATATAAATTCATGAAAACAAGTGAGGGATTTGAACACTTTTCATTCATGTGTATCAGTTTTATAAGAGTCCTAATTAAAAACTAAAGTCCCTAACAATCTCAGAACAAGTGTAAATAAAGGAGAGTTTTTTATTTTCACAGATATTATGTCATAGTGTTTGTTTATCTCAAAGTGGGAAGACATAACTCGTGATCAGGAACAGGAACTGTACCTCTCATCAGCGGAGCCACGTTGAAGCTTTCATATCGGGCTGTCTTGACAACTGCTCTTGAGTGACAGCTGGGATATCCAATCGAATGCTTGCATTCAGTCCGCGAGGGCAGAAGTCGACCAATAGCGTTGCTGCTTAACGGCGTCGTCTCTCTCATTGGTCGAACGACGACACATCCCACCAATCACGTATCCGCATTTGGCAAACGCCATCGGGGACTTTTTTGCGTCACCTTTTTGCTCCCGTTGTGTGTCAACCCGCCAGTGCGCCTGCGTCGCTCCGACAGACAGCGGGTTAGCCAATCAGGGGCACTGTTTGGGGGGGCTGGAGCGTTCTGATCCCGCCCCCTTGAGTGACAGACGTCAGATCCAATCGCACTCTGCTTAGTATGCGAGTGTGCGTGATTGACAGGAAACGGTCCAATGAGAAGCGGGGACATGACGTTTTAACGAACGTTGCGATTTTACCGTCCAATCCTAGTGTAGAAACAAGGCGGGACTTATCGTTACCAAGGCATGTCTTGAGTGAAGTATAAAGGGAATAACATGGTGTCCCAGTGGCTGTTTGTGTTTACTTAAAGAACAGATTTGAAAGGGCGTTTTTCAACACACAACGGAGTTTTCTTTGTAGATACAGTTTTAATTGTTTTGCACTTTAAGTTTTTTTATGTTAAGATTTACAAGGCCAGTGGCATGTAAATCTCATACTTCACTAATGTGCCAGTCTTACAAATGGAAAGGGGGCTTCACTTTGGAAACGTGAGCATTTCCCTGGTGCTCCTGCTGTTGCTGAAAGCGCTGCTCGGATTCGGGACTTCGGGACAAACTCAGGGCTCCGCCGTCGGGAGGGAGCCGCAGTCCGCCACCCGGGGTTCAGGGTCGACCTCGGAGGGAGATGGTGACAGAGTCATGGAGCGGGGCTTGGGGAACGTAGTCGCCCCGGTCATACTCGCAGACGTTACCGTGGAGGACGACGAGAACGGGTCGGCGGGAGAGGCCGACGAATCACACGGAGAAAGTAACGGACCGACAAGGTTAGTCCTTTTAAAACAGCCGGACACCCATTATCGGACATGCGCGTTGAACCACCTGCACAAAAAAATGCTCAAAATACACACACAAAAAAAAATATATATATATATGAAAAACAAACGTGTATTATTAATTAGAGTAACTAGTTAAAATGTCGCTGTTTAGATGTTTGTGAAGCTAACGTTAAGTCTCGACGATTACATGAAGATATTCATCCGCCTTCAAAAGCGCTGGTCAAAACTTGTGGATGCGGTTGGTTGTGTTCCTCCCTCCCCCCCCTCAACTTGTTTTAAAGCGTATTATCTCAGCTTCTACGCCCCCCTCTTTATAATATTATTGATTATAAATTGTCGTGGAAGCAATATTAAGAGCTGTCAGAGCTCAAAACATTTAAAGAACAACACGTCGACGCCAGTTTAACTTCCCATAAATGGTGTTAAGAGTTTCGACTAAAGTTTGGATGAGACGTTAGTTGTGGTTAACTAGAACTAGCTCATTTTTATGGGGTTTGTTTTTGTTGTTGTTGTGGTTATTTTGCATGGTAGTCTTAACATGCTGAGGAAAAAAATGAAAGTGTTTCTGGGGCATCAGTGAGGGCAGTTCATCGACCATAAAGTTTGTGAGTCCTGCGCTGGCTGACCGCCGTATGAGGCTGAAACGTGCCCCGGTTGTCGGTGTTGTTGTTGTACTGATACAGTAAATGTGTGACCTCCAGTGGAGATACAGGCAGGGTTGCTTTAAAATAATAATAATATAATATAATAATTACTAATTTACCTGGTAAAAAAAAAAAAAAAAAAACATAAAATATAGTCTGTAAAGTAACGTGATAACGAGAGAAGAAATGTCAATAAGAAGTATTGATGCACGTGTTTTTCTATAAGACAACAAACAAATTTAACATTTGGAAAGAAAATTGACTGAAACTGCTATATAATCCCTATTTTGTACTAAATATAACTGTAATCTTCTTGTCTGTTTTTCTGTAACTGTAATGGATTAGTTACCTTTTTTTTTCTCTGTATCCTGATTACATAACTCCACCGGTCCAGTCTGAGCAGTTGGTTCAGATTATGTGATAAATAAGCTTCTGTTTCCTATCAGTGTGATGTGATGGACCCTGCCTGCTCTCCTCATCCAGTCGTCACTTTGCACTGTTGAGTTAATTTGCTTTCCATTTATTATCATACAAAAATCACATTACATGAAGGAGGGGAACACTGATACCATCCTCTCATGATCCACTGCTTATCTCCACAAACACGTCAGGACTTTGTAGCGGAGAAAAGTTGAAAGAAAAACTGATTATTTTTTTTAATTAACCCACACTTAACTGGGAATTTATTAGGAGAAGCAAGTTATAATGTTTGTGGCAAAGTGGCTCCCCAGCACAAGGATAGAGATGTCATACAGGATCTAAGGTGTTGGACTTCTCATGTTGACATGCTGTCTCTGTTGTTGTTGTTGTTTACTAGTGGGCTAACATTATTGTCCTAGATAGAGAATGTGGCATGGACATAAACGGAAAGCAGTTGTTGTTAAATGGAAAGCAAACATTTGGTGGGTGCTCTCCTCACGTACCAAGAATACAAATCCAACATGACAAGTGCATGTTTTTTTTAATTTTTTTTTATTTTAAGGACAGACTGTCATGCAGGCATGTCGCTGAGCTGAGAGAGAGAAATAAATCCCCAGAATCCTGTCAGTTAAAAGTTTTACGGCTTCACACCGTCCACAGGTTTACTGAACCCTGTTAGACCTGCTGCTGCTGCCCAAAGTGAGATGCAGTTCTTGGCGCAGTGGGTACGGCATTGATTTTGTCTTCCTTGGTAAACAGTAGGTTTGACGCCCACCTTAGATGTTTGGCGCAGTGTGTTCTTCATGATGTTACTCCTCTCTGCTATGTTATTCTTTTTTTTTTTTTTTTTTTACCGAGACCATTACAGATAGTTTTGACTGAGCCTCTAGAATCATTCTCATAATAGCGGGTTTTCTTTTGTAGAAGCCTATAAGGTTCTTCACTAAATTATTCTCTGTGTAGTATTATAAATGTCCTGTCTGCTGTTCAAGAGAAAGTTGGATCGAAGTCAGTCATAAAATTGAAAACCTTGTTAAAGCCATACCTTTTTTTTTTTTTAAGTGTTTGGTATTCTCTCTTACCTTCATACTAAAACCTGCTGCTGGTGTATCTAACTAGGTGGTTAAAAAATGCGGCACATGTTCCATTTGCCGTCAACTTCTTTACCATTGAGCCTCACTTAAAAGCTTCCTGACAGCCCCTGAATCATCTGTTATTAGTTCTTATTATTGGGGATGCCATACAAACCCAGATTTGTCACAACAGGGAGCTGCTGAGCACACTTGGCAGTCAGTCCCATGAAGCTTAAGTCAAGAGGAATAGGTGTGAGTAGTTGTCATGTTGTTTTTAGCAATTGTGTAAGAGAGATATTTTCACACAGTGTTTGCCACAATACAACCTTTGCACTCTCAAGTCTTTTACGCCCAGTGCACCACCAAGGACGCAAACTTATCAGGATAAAAGTGACGGCAAACTAACCCCCCCGGTGCAAGGGAGACACAGCGAAGGACTTCAAGATGGATAAGGCTTCCGTCTGTCATCTGCAGCACAGTATGAAAAGGGAATCGAATGCAATTAGCAGAGCAGTTTTCTCCGATAGAAGCGGGGCTATTCCCTCGCCGGGTTCCTCAGCTGCTGCAGGAAAACTCCTGAGTGTCATCCTGCTGCTGGTCACACCCTGGCACTGCTCACTTTCACTCCTGCGTCTATTTCTCTCCAGTACCTGTGTGTGTCACTCTCTGTTGGATTCTGCTGTGTTTTCCTCTCCTCTTTTTCTCACTTTATCAGTCTGCCTCTGCTGATTTCTCTTTTCTGTTTTATCATGCTCTTTCTTCCATATTCACAGTTTGTCTGCACATACTTATTGGCTGTGAATCATCTTATAGCAATGTCTGCTCTGGTAATATGTTTAGTATACATTGTCCATGGTATTAAAAGTATTCCTTTCCCTCCTTTTTGTTTTGGTTTATAAAATATTCTATAAATATTGTTGAAATATTGAGCTGAGAGGATAAATACCTAAATAATAACATTGATATAAGTTGTATTTTTGCCACATTTTGCAAATGCAAATGCTGCCCCACAGGGTGTGAACGTACACACCATCACAATAACAAACAGTAACAGTGATATGTAAAGTCAGAAAGATAAAGAATGAAAGGCAGATACAGCAAGAATGATACAGGTGAATTATTAATCAAAAAGCCTGTCTGTAAAACAACAACAGATATGTAAAACATGACAGATTTAGCTGAAATAATAAAATAATGAACTAATGAAGGTTCAGAGTCAAAACACAGCAAGACAGTATCACACCCTGTCCG